CCTGCATTAGCATCAATTAACTGGTCTATATGCGGTAAAGAAAAGAAATCTTTTGGACAGGCTTTATTAAGGTCTGCGTAATCTACACAGACTCGCCACTTACCGTTCTTCTTAGGAACCACAACAGTATTAGCTAACCAGTTAGGATATTTTACCTCACGAATTGAACCAATTTTTAGCAACTTTTGAACTTCCTCTTGAATCACCTTATTTTTGAAAGTTCCTTGCTTTCTTTTCTTTTGCTTGACGGGAGGATATGATGGATCTTCATTCAACTTATGAGTCATGACTTCCGGTGGTATCCCTATCATGTCAGAATGAGACCGAGCAAAATAGTCTGCATTAGCTTTTAAAAATTCAATCAATTTACGTTTTACCTCCGGGCTAAGATTAGCTCCTATGTACACTTTTCTCTCGGGCCAATGTATAAATAACACCACGACTTTTCTCTAGCTCTTCTATCGTTGTTTTGATGTTCTCATTCTCCTCCGGTTCTTGAATGGTATCAGGTCTTGAATCCAGATCTGTTTGCTTTTGCTCAGGTGAGGTTGACTCCGTGTTACCCTCACCTAAATTCTGTAATTGCTATTTGTCTTCACCTTTAACAGTTGAATCTGCAACAGAATTGATGCTTCTAGATGTTTGTTGATCGCCTCTGATTTGGCATATTCCCTATGGAGATGGGAATTTAATAACTTGATGTAAAGTTGAAGGAACAGCTTCCATGTCATGAACCCATGGCCTCCCAAAAATCATATTGTAAGCTATTTCCATATCTACAACTTGAAATTTGGTATCTTGAACGACGCCTTCTGCGAATGTAGTAAGTATTGCCTCCCCTTTTGTTACAACACTAGAGTTATCAAATCCCGACATAGTATGCGCCTTTGGAATTAATTTATCCTCCGCTTGCATCTCGCGCAATACCCGTATTAAAATAATGTTTACAGAACTACCTGGATCAACCAAAACTCGTTTCACGTTAGTATCATGTACAAGTAAAGATATTACCAGTGCGTCGTTATGCGGAGTTATGAGTCCCTCGACATCTGCATTATTGAATATAACATTCTCCTCTTCCAGTACATGTTGAGGCCGCTTCCCGTGGGTAATTGTCACTTTTGAAACCTTTTTATATGATACATCATTGATCTCTTCACCTCTACTTATAACGTTGACAGTTCTCTTGAGCGAAGGTGGTTTTGGAGGCTCCTGCCTGTTCTTCATGTATGCTTGTTTACCTTTCTCACTGAACAACTCAGTAAGATACCCCTGTTTTAGCAAATGATCAACTTCACCTTGTAGAAACCTGGAATCTGTTGTCTTATGCCCATGATTGTTATGAAATTCGCACCAATGATCAAGGTTTCGTCTGTTCGGATTTGATCGCATTTCCTTTGGCCATCGTACCTTATCTCCCATGCTTCTAAACAGCCACGAGTTCAGAGGTGCTTACGTTGAAGTTGTAACCACCGAACCTTGCCTTTAGACTTCCATCATCGTCTCGTGACCCGCATGTGTTCCGGTCATTTCCGAACTTCGATGAGGAGCCTGACTCCTTGTTTCTAGGTTTATGATCGTACCTTTGATTATCTTGCCTTGATTGTGAGTCTTTCCCCGCATGTCCCATGTATGGCTCGTACCTGTTTTTACCAGATCTCTTTTCATTTTCCACATGCCTTGAGCTTACCTTTTCTTCTGTTTTATGTCGTAAAATAATGTCTTCTTCAATCCTCATCTTTGTACTGTATCTGTTGTAGACATCATTCCACGTTGTTGCTGGGAATTCTCGAAGGCTTTCTTTGAGTCGCCTCGTGGCTTCTGAACTCTTCTCATTCAAATTACTAGCAAAGGCTATGGCTGCCCAATTGTCAGGTACTCGTGGCAGCATCATTCTTTCCCGTTGAAATCTATCTACGGACTCTCTAAGCAACTCTGAGTCTCCTTGTTTGATTTTGAAGATATCTTCCATTCGCTTTTCAACTTTTTGAGCTCCCGAGTGTGCTTTGATAAATAAATCTGCAAGCTCAGCAAACGAATTTATAGAATTTTCAGGTAAAAGAGAATACCATGTTAAGGCCCCTTTAGTGAGTGTTTCACCGAATTTTTTTACCAAGACCGACTCAATCTCTTGCTTAGTCAAATCATTGCCCTTGACACCTGTTGTGAATGCAGTAACGTGATCTCGTGGATCTGATGTACCATCATACTTTGGAATATCAGGCATCTTAAACTTCTTTGGAATTGGGAGGGGAGCAGCACTTGGCTTCCATGGTTGTTGGGAATATTTATCTATATCTACTCCCTTGATCACGGGCGGTACTCCAGGTATTTGCTATATGCGTTCATTTTGCTCCTTAAGCTGTTTCTGCAAGGTTAGTACTAGATTTTGTAAATCAGAGTTAACTGGATTACCTGGGTCTCTCTCTTGTGTTTCACTAGGGGTTCCACCGCTGCCTGAATTAACCAATCCTGAACGAGGATTCTCCAAAGTGTTGTTGTTTGGAGTAGATGTGGGTGGAACAGCAGGTAATTGGCTAACAAAAGCTTGGAGAGCTTTATTGACTTGAGAGGCAATAAGTTTTTGCAGAGCCTCATTTATGGTTTCAACATTTTCGAATTGAGCCTGTCCATCTGTGTGAGATCCATCAGGAATGCCTTCACGAGACCGTCGTGGGGAGCCTCGTGGAGAACCTTGTGGAGAGCCTCGTGGAGAATCTCCCTGAAGTTGTTGGATTGTTTGAATTTCTGGGTTTCCTTGAGTGTTGTCATTGTTGTTTGACATGATTGATGCAATCAAGAAAATTAGGTTGAGATATACTTGATTATCAGATTCCCGGCAACGGAACCAATTTGTTTAACCAAAAAAATAGAATTTTAGTCAAAACTAGAATTTAGAAGAATCGGGTTACTGATAATTGAAAAATTAAATAAAGAAAGAAATTTTAGAGTAACCAAGTATGAAAGCTGGTAAATCAAAGTATATTCCAATAGTCACCTCTCCCTACAATTGTTTGTTTCTTCCCTTTTCATAGCTCTTTTGGGACACGAGCCTTACCTTTGTCATAATAATGCTATTATGGGCAATTAATGACTTTAAATGTTACGTTATGCAATCATATACATTAAATACATATTCTCTAACGTTTCCAATAATTAATACTCATTAAATGTTGTATCTGGGCTCCTTTTTGCTGTTAGATTCATTCCTTTGATTCTTCACTTTCTTTGAGTTTCAAATGTCTTGAATAGGTATGAGCGTTGAATTACTTGTATGATTGCTCGCACCCCCTCCATTTAATTTACTCATATCTGTTGTTGCTCGTATCTGTTGTTGCTCGTATCTGTTAACCAACCTTATTTCTTTGACTGTTTGACCAGTCTATACGTCATGACACGTCACCATATACATAAATATAATTTTCCCGAGTACAAATTTATAATTATATCATGAATCTATTATTGGTTTCACCTTAAGAACATGGACTGAAGGTGTGATTGTTAGATTTTTGGAAGAAAAATTAGAATCGCCTAAATATCGATTAGAATGACTAAATGGACATGAAATGAAAATCTAAACATAGATTTGAGCACGTGAACTTATGGGTCAATGTGATTTGACTTTTACTTTGAAGTTTGACAATAAGGATTGAGTTTGACTTTTTGAGTTGACTTTGACTTCGGGCTAGCCCTTAAATTGTGGAATTAATTCCTATGACTTTGTTTAACCTTATTGAGTATACTTTTGGCTAGACCGAGGTCAATTATAGGGTTTGGATCAAGGAAAAGTTATTTTTAAGGCTAAGGACAGCTTGGACCTAAGTAAGTTGAGACTTGACCTCAATAAGGGAATTTTTTCGATATTGTCATATTTGCTACGTGCTACGTATTTGGGTGTAACAAATATGTGAGGGGGAAACCGTATATGCGGTTTCCATGTGCTTCTATACGTGAGTAGAAGGATAAGCTTCATATGGCTTTGCTTGATTTGCTTGTGTCATGGCTGTTTGTGCATCTTCATATACTAGTATCAGGTTATAGGCATCTCTCGTATATTAGTTTAACATGAGAGGATATTGAATATCATGACTAATTATTTGTATGACTATTGAGCATCATATGCATGCTAGTATATTTCTATAGGCATCATTCACATGCTAGTTTAACATTATAAATTTATGTACATGTTTAACATGATAGAACTGCTTAGTCATACATTGTTTTATATGCACCTTGGTAGCATATACACTTTATTCTCATTACTTATTATTAAAGATAGTTATTTGAAAAGTTGAGTTGTTGGGCTTGTGCATTCACGTCTGTTGAGGTATCAGTTTAGCCGTGTCATTATATGTTCCTGTTGACGTATCAATTTGGACATGTCATTACATCTTCTTGTTGAGATATTAGTATGGGCATGTCATTACATGTTCCTATTAAGGTATTGGTTTGGCTATGTTTATATTATGTTCTTGTTAGGTGTGTGAGATGATGTTCCTGCTGCATGTGGATAAGGATCCATCCCTCTGGAATCGCCCTCTCATGTTTCTCTCTTAGTGGTGTACACGCGGGTTTGTAAGAATTCTACGGTTTCTGGTTTGATTATGATTCCATTTGATGAGTTTGAATATAAAGGTAGAAGCTTTGTTTATTGTAAGTGATCCTTTATGTCTGTTCATCCATTCTTAATCCATGCATATCATTATACATGTTATTTGATGTATTTTACACAAGGCATCAGAAGAGCATTCAATCACATATTAAATACTCCCTTCAGTCCACAATAAGTGACCAGTTTGTTTTTAGCACGCTCATTAAGAAAATACTAAATTCTATACAAAAATACCTAGTATGACTAAACTACCCTTAATTAAATATTGTCACATATTTATAGTGACATTTACTTCTCTTCTCAAATCATTACATTATTCAAAATAAAATTTGAAACTTTGCTAAAATTTTAAGAACGTCTTTGAAAAAACAAACTAGAGCCAATTTTTTCAATTTTCGCCACCAAAACTATCTTATAAAAGGAAGCTCTTTTCCAGGTTATTGTTAAACATGGCTAAAATGGAAAAACACTGAATTTCTCCACTTCAAATTGATCTAAACATTCCTTTGGATGAGCATGTCGGTGGAGAACAACTACCTGATCTTATTGAAGATGCATTTCCCGACCTCAATCTTATTCCCGATGAAGAAGATGACACACAACTGAGTGGAGAATTGCAAGCATCACTAGAAGAACGAACCATAAATTCTGGTAATTACACTTTTTAAAATACTTAAAACACCTTCTATTTTATTTTTATTTTTTTCATAAGCTGTTTTTTTTTTAAAATTTGTTTAAACAGAGGCAAATGAAGAACTATCACAACCAAAGACAAAAACAGAAGCAATTTCCTTATGCGCATAATTTGGGGAAGATGATTTTCTGCTTAGTGTCCACTTTAGTGAGTTTTGGACAATCAATCAATCAACTATGTTAAATCGATTCTCAAATTTCATAGAAGCAAAATTTTCCAATGTAATGTACGTAACAAAAAAATAATTAAAAAGAGATATAAGTTTTTCTATCCTTTTATGGTATTTTGTGTTTCTTGAGGTTTAATTCTTTTTGCAAAAGAGTGTCATTTTACACCAAATGTATTGTTATAAGTTTTGTGTAATCCCCAGCATATTATACATAATTAGGATAAGATTTGAAAAAACATACTACCTGATTTTGTAGATCTTATAGTCTCTAACCAGTATAACAAAAAACTCTTGTATGAGATATTACTGCATAAAAGTTTCCCTGGAAATTTGAGGCATGGAGTGACGGACGGTGGCAACAAATTGGTTTCGAGACAAAGTAGTTGTTCTCGAGTCTTTGAATGACTTTTCAGTTGCTATTTAATTTTAATAATTTAATGTGAAGAGTGAGAAAATTTTTTAGGGATATGCACATAAGGGTAAAAGAGTAAAAATAAATTAAATTTTTTCTTGATTACATAATTGGACACTTATTTTGGATAAAATAAAAAAGCAAACTGTTCACTTATTGTGGACCAGAGAGAGTAACATCTAAGAGTATTAATTTAAATAATATTAATAATATGTGTGTGCTTATACATATATACACGCATATGTTTTCTCAAAGTAGTTGATGGTAGAGCGTAAATTCAGTGTAGTAGCATAATCCAATTTAAACTCGTGATATAAACTCATATTAAAAGTGAACAAAGAAGAATATAAACTCATATTATACTTCCTAATAATTGTTTCTCTCTCTTCTTTTTTCCAGTGCCTTATCACGATCCAAAAATTTACTAGTCATGATGGCATCTAACCCAATCCGATAGGTAAGACAAATAACAGCCAACACAACTCAGAAATAATAATATGAGTCAATGAGTAAAAATAACTGAATTTCTATACAAATCCCAAGATTGGTAGTACAAATCGTGAGCTTCTAAGACTTAAACTTTACAAAGCTGGTACGAAACAAATACATCATCCGTTCGAAGTATCCATAAGCAAATTTTGCAAATCTAAAGTTACCACGGATAAGTGGCAGCTATATCCGGAAAGCAGGTACATCTTCAATGCTAGCTCCCGCCATACACCGCAACATCAGCTCCAAGATCTGCATCAAGATGCAGAAGTGTAGTATGGGTACAACTGACCCCATGTACTCAATAAATAACAAACTTAACCTTGTGTTACAATTAGTGACGAGTTCGGAAGATGGTGAGAGTCCAGCACCATTAGCCAAGAATAACTCATAATAATATAAAATGAAGACAGTAAAAGCAGTGACTCAAAAGTATTATCATATTCAACTCGTTCACAATTACGGAAAAGTAGACATAATTTTCAAGTATAACAGTCCAAGTCCAAATCTTATAATTGAAATCAATTAAATATGAGTTTATCAAAAGAACTGTATTGTTTCCAATTTCCCAATATCAAATAAGAATTTTTCATTTACCAGTAAGCACGAGGAAAATACTTTTCTATGCCTACATATCAATATACATGTCAAATCATCATATGTAATGTTATTGTCTAGCATGAGGAAAATACATCGCTATGCCTATATGTCAAATATACCTGTCAAATAAATAATTTTCATAGTGATATCATCAAGTATCCCACTTTCAGCACACTCAAGGTGCCTAGCTCAACACCCCCACTCCATCACACACACAAATCACTCAACACTGTATGGGTGTCTGGCTCAAAAGACCCTCACCAAAGTGCGCGTGCGTGTGTAGATATATATCATTGTGCTTGCGCCCATTACCGGTATGTTAGACTCCGGAGAGGCGAATCCTTCCCAAGCACTAATCCAAAGCCAATATGGCCGGCGTGCAGCCCGATTCAAATAACAATAAGCCAATAAGGCTGGTTGCGGCGTGCAACCCGATCCAAATAAGACTCTCTCAACATGGCTCTTAGGCTCACTGATCCACGTCCAATCCGCACTCAATAGTGAGTGCAAACGGTCATTGGAAGAATAGTACCCAACAAGAGTCGGGTTCGAAGTGTTAGGGGTATACACTTGACCAGAGCAAATGAAATAACTAAATTGCACTTTTAAATAACAGAGTTTGTTTTCTACTTTTAAATTATCGCTAAAATTATGATCTAAAGAGAAGAAATTAGAAAGTGAATGATTATTTTTGTTGTTTTTACCAAATGGTTAAAAGACCTAGGGATGTGACATTCACCTAGATGTTCGCCTAATGGATTAAGTACGTTAACACTTATTTTATTGATCGGGGTGCATTATAGCTCTCAACTCTAAGTTACCCACTCAATACCTCTCAGTCATAGAGTGATTTTGCCTAATTTATCTTTCTCAATCCCAAATGGGTATCAAGCTAAATAGTTGATATGAGCTCAAATCGGGTCTTCCCTATCTCTAGTTAAAACCATTTAATTAGGATAATGAAACCTAAATTAGCCCAATTCCTTGTTAGCTAAATTATCCTAGACTATGTCCCTCTTTCTTAAGTAAAGACCAAGTCAAAAAGGCATGAATCAACGTTTGCAACCATTAATTCTAAATTTAAAGTACAAATAAGGCTAAATCATCAACACTCAATCATAACAAGTATTAGATTAAATACCCATAAGGCATACACACTAGAGTTGGGTCACAATTCTTGTAAGAGTCTAGCTACTCATAGTGTAAAATAAAGAAAACAAAGAAGAAATACTAATTAAACTCATAAACCAAGATTAAAATGATAAAATATGATGTTTAATCCCAAAATAGTCACAAACATCCTAAAATAGCAAAATACAATGGCTACAACTGCTCAATCTTCAGAACTTGACCTAAAAATGTGATTCCCATCTATTTATAGTGGCCCAAAATTCGCTGATAAAAATGCCCCTCGGGAGGTTCTGCGGCCGCCCAATTCCATATGTGGTCCACACATTACTTCATCTTGCAGGGCCTTGGAATCTACAGCCGCACAATTTGGTCTACGACTGCAATGTAGCTTCTGCGGCTGCACAATTCTTGTGCGGTCCACACTTCAGGCAAGGCTTCAAGTCTTGGTCACTTGCACACTCTCAGAACTTTTGAATTCTCTGTCAGTGTGGACCCTGTTCTATGACCGCACAATTCATGTGCAGTCCGCACATCTACTTGAAGTTTGCTAGGCTTCCTCACTAGTTCTGCAGCGGCAATGGGAATTCTGGGATCCACACTTTCTTCTGCGGCCGTAGAAATACCTCTATGGACCGCACTTCTTGTGTTATACGCCCCTCCTTGCTTTGTTAGTCAGAACACTTCTTTTTGAGTCGGATTCTTCAAGAGAGCCCAAACTTCAAACATTCCCACAATTTACACATTTTCATTAGTTTTGGGAACATAAATCAATACTCTTGGACCAAAACAGAAGCAAAAAAGTGCTACTAAGTGGTCAAAATTCACACTTATCAACTCCCTAAACTTAAGTCTTTGCTTGTCCTCAAGAAAATAAATTATTTCCCATCTCCTCAAATTTGAAAGTCATTTCAGTGAGTCAATGGTGAGTCATTCATACTCAGTTGGGACCAACAATTACCCACACTACTTATGCATCATCAACAAGGTGACAAGTCAAATATTCATGCACATATAGTTCTAATGTATCATTTGAGCTTCAAGAATTGACTTTACTCATCAAGGACTCTTGTTCTATCATGTAGGTCATGGTGGACTCCAAACTCTTCCTCCTCTACCTTCCATTTGCCAAGCTTACTTAAAAAGTTAGCACTCAATCTTAAGATTTATGAAAGGTTCACTCTTCTCTCACAAGAAAATATCACAAGTACGGCTTCAAGTACCATAGGCTTGCCCCTTATGTAGATCACCACTACTGTAAGCTCACATGGTTCGAAATCAAGTAGGACTTCTTTCAGGTAGTAATGAAGGCTTTTGGATCAGGGTAGGATACCATATTGGTAAGTGGTTACAAATTTCCTTAAGCACTTTACATTTTAATTTCTCGGCTCACAATTACCAGTTCTTAGCGGCATTTTCTTTTTATTTGGGGCTAGAGAGACTTGACATCTCTCTTTTTTGTTGTTCATTTCATTCTTTCTCTCTCTTTGATACTCATGTTAGGAATCGTTACCTCTTTTTAAATCCATCAACCCTTTCACTTGTTCTCTTTTTTGCATTTTTCTTTTTTGTTCTTTTCTTTTCTTGCCTTCTCTTTTCATAGAGATCACTTCTTTTCTCTTTTTGTGCCTTGATACCTTTTTCAAATTCCTCATCTCTCCTCCAAACTTATTCTTTAAGCCACTTATTTCAAAAGAGTGTTAAGGGAAGTCTGGGCACCAAGAGAGGATCACGACAAACAGGTAAAGACTTATAACATGGTTATCAAATGAGAAAGGCTAGAGGCTCAAAGGGGTTTGACTAGGGATAACGACATTGATTGGAAATAGAAAGCTCAAATGGCCCAAGAAAAGCCTACAATCACTTCTCAAACCAAGCAAAACTTAGGATTTCTCCTTGAAGCACATTTAGGGCAAGTTCTAGACCATTCGCGCGGATACTTGAACTAGCAACAATTCATTTCATCCCTCATGCAACTAGATCATAAAAGAGGATAGAGTCGAGAGCCTACAACAACCACATTCAAGTTTAAAGATCACTATGGTCCAATAAACCACTCGATAATCGCCAAAGTCAACTCAAGAGTCACAAAGTCACTAACTAGAGCTATTTTCTTTCAAAAACCATGTCTCTAACCATAAGCACGTAGTCAAGTGTGTAGGTGAAGCATGATTAACTCTTCGAGAATGACTTGATTAGGCCTTTTTATTCATTACTACTAGTATTATTATTACCTAACACAAAAACGGACTCATTCCCTTAAGAAGGTTGACATGCCAC